ATCACGTCAGGAAGTATCAAAGTCAGGAAAATCGTAATCAGAGTGACGGTAGTGATCCTTAGAAATACTATTAGAGGCAATACAGCGTCAGATTTCAAGATATATCGTATCATACTCTGTCCTCGGAGCAAAAAGTTCCAAGTTCTTCGTGGTACAATTTTTTCACACCCGCATGTGCAATAGTAGAGTGTCGTAGGTGAAACAGGTACTTGAACGGTTAACAAACCGAAATTTCTTAAATTACGTGGTAAAAGTTGTGTTTCTTTGTTGGGAGAGGTCGTTGACACGCGAAGAAATTCGTCGATGGCAAAGATGGCGCCGACGGTCGCCAAACTCTTTCGTACTCCGTCACGCGTCACATTTCCAAAATTACGACGCAAGTTTCGATCATTCTGTACGATTCCTTTGATCCTTTCGGCAAATAAGAACAGTGAAAACGTTTCCAATAATATTTCATAGAACCGCTTGGCCTCACAGAAGAGTCGCGTTTTTCCAAGGGAAATCGATCGAGTTACCGGCTTTCCATCGTGGAAACTGAACACCGATGCACGAATAATAACTCGTTACGGTCGATTGCGTAACCACGTCGATTTCCACGAAGTCGGGGGAGAGACCGGGAGTCGATCGGATTCCGACGGCGCAGGTAGATCCGCTCTGAGTCAGGATTTTCTCCCCGCGAGCCAGGATTTTCCTTTGTTCTTCCTCGTCGAGTCCCTTGCCTGTCTCCAGTCCATCCACGTGGAAACTGAAATTAGGAGTCACACAGGTGTTCGCAGAGAAACGAGTTTCCTTGAATTCTCACCTTTGTATATATTTCATTACGCGGTGAAGCACTGTGGATTCATCGGTGACGTCAGTCGAATGAGTCAGAGTGGTTACGATAATCCCTTCAGGGGTAGAACTGTGGCTCTGTTTTGCAATTATAGCGTTGGTAATTTTATTTCGAGGAAAGTAGGCTCCCGGAACTCCTTAGAATAGCGCGCACTAATTTCAGGCAACACAGGATCTGTGCTTTTCGTCTAAGTACGCCATTTGAAGTTGTAAAATTTGACTTCCGGAGGCGACAGTAAATATTTTGATGAATGTAATTGCTCTAGGAGTAGAGTGGCGTTAATTCTTTCCAAAAATACTCGAAATTTGATGTTTCTCTTCGGTAGTTAACTTCAGAGTGCGGCATAAGGTCAACGCACGTCTTCACTTAAATATCTATTATCAATTTATTATCGAATTAACGAGTAATCTGAGTGAACAGTGGTTATTCGTCGAGATGTTCAGCTTTCGAATGGTAAAGGAATCCACCCTTGCTTCTTCTCACAGAAATATTCGAAATAGAATTTCCAGAGGTGATAAGAAATTTCTAGTATAAAATTAACGAGGAATACGAGAATACGGTGGTCAGTGGTCGAGAAACTCGGTTTTCGAAGGGAAAAGCCGCGGGGCGCCCTCCGTGCAAAGGGGAGGGAATATCGGGCGGCGGTTTGCGCGGCCTATAATTGGTAATTTGCAAGTATAATAAACGGCCTGCGGTTTCTGTTTTCATTTATTAGCCGCGAAATGCCTCCGCTTATTAGCGCAACGATGCATTCAAAGCAACTCGCCCGTTTCTTCGCGATAAACATTCTTTTCCCCGGCGAAATTCCTCCGACGACCGCACTCCCTTCGACATGTTTCGTTTTCTCCCACCTTGCAATTATTCCATTATCATTGTCCACTATGAATCGAATGAATTTCTTCGTACCATCCCTCCGGTTCGATTTTTCCTTTACTCGGCCCGCTCGAACCTGTACAAAATGGCGTCTGATCGTCGACGCACGTTAATTGCGAAGGAAAAGATGCAATCTTCCATTGTTTCTATCGTGAATAATCAAGTTATCGGTTAGGGAGGTATCGAGTAGGATCTCTGCGTAGCTTTGAATCATCGATCCCAGGTATTTCCCGTTTATTAGATCATTTGAAACGCTTACCACGGTTAAAAGGATTGTCGTAATTGGAAAATTCACCTTCGGTGGGTGACTTTCGGTTTCTTCGCTTCTTTTTCTATATTATTCTACTCTCGAAGATCGTCAGACTTGTGTGTTCCACGGGGAGCTTGATCCGACGGCAGAAGCCGACACGTCCATCGACGTCCAGCCGACACGGCTGATTTCGAATTATTCGAGGATTATTCCTTGGGAGAAATACGTTCTTTTTGAGCGTGATTGGACTTTGCTCGAAGCCCTCCGGCCATACGTGTCACGGATCGGGCGCACGTGCGTCGCGACGCCCGTTTCGTGCGGAACAAGATTAACGAATCTCGATAAGATTAGTAGCAGCGATACGTGATCGCCAGCCTCGCCTCGATGGACGTGTTTTTTTTTCGCCTGAATGACGTAACATGGTCAATCGGTGAGACACCCGGGCGAAATTCGCGACACCGTGGCGCACCGTGAACTTTCCCGGCAACGAGCAATCTTATCTTCGAAAATTGATAAGCGCCAATAAATCTCTAACGACTTATTGAAATATTGTTGTTGCACGAAATCAACCGATAACCATCTCTCACCGGTGATAATGCCAAGGTGGGGAGGAGACAGGACTCTGAACCGTGAACCTTCAAATTTTTGACAGTTGAGATTCTTTCGAGATTTTCTGCCCGCGGTGGTTCCGTGAAAATTTCTGACCGAAAGGTTCGTGTATGTGTTATAATCGTCGTGGGACAGAAAGTCGAACGATAATTTCGCTTATCGGTGCCTTATCGTTACGTACAGGCCCACCTCACGATTTCGAGGAGTGATCGACCAAAAACATGGACGGTAATCTCTGTCGTCTTTTTTGTTGATCTGTGATCTGACACTTTTTTGGGGAGGAGATGGGGACGTTTCAGTTCGAGAATTAAGTCTTCCCTCGTAAATGGAAGAAGAAGGACATTTTTGATAGGTACAGGTAGAACGTTGATCGATATTGTCGGTAGGTTTGAACGTGGAAAGAACGTGTAATTTTTGTAAACCAATCGGGGCTGTTTTAATGCACCGTTCAAGCGATTTGATGGATATCCCACAGTGTTAGATTCTGTGTAATTGCCTTCGGAAAGAGATTAGAGGAATCTGGTTCTACGTAGTTCTGTTTATTTGTTTTGGTAATATAGTCAAGGATAGGGAATTAACTCTGTTCTTTTTCTTCTGCTTTAAATGACCGTTAGAGCCATAAGAGGTGTAATTATAATCGTGGTAATTGCGATAGAAAGTGGCGAGAGATGCCGAGGTGTGAAAAATTAGTCGATTCCGTGG